AAAAAAAAAAAAAAAAAAAAAAAATATACTGATCGAATTGAGTAACCTCCTCCTTTTTCGAAGTCGGTTAAAAAGAAATTGAAATTGCTTGCTATAATTCCTCTGATTACAGAAGAGAGTCACTGTAAGATACGATATCGAACTGTATCGGATGATAAGGCACTTGGAGTCGCTGTTATTCTTAAATGTGAGTGAGAAACGTTTACTTCTACAATATATGTTTAACTGTTAACTTTATTAAATTTATCGTCTTCTACAAAACACTTAAAGCACTAGACATTATAATCACGATAATAAAAGTTACAGTACTAAATGTTATGATCGCAACAATAATATTCTTCGGAAAGCTTTAACCCTTTCGCTTCGGCAGTCCGGTCCAAGTGTCGTTACCGTACGGAAGCACGCGCCAGAAATGTGCACAGTGCGCGTGGTTTTTGTATATACATTTTTTAAGTCTTAAATAATTACTATGCTTAATAAAACAATTGTTGCTCTAATATAGCATGTATTCCTCACATTTTAAGATGAAAACAGTTAAACAAAATTATATTAGTTACTCTAAAGACATTAGACTAATTACAGTTGACAAATTTTTAGCTATTTACATATTTACAATTTTTTATTCTTAAAAAAAGAATAATACCTTGAGCCGATCTATTCTTAATTCTTATAGAACACGATATGTATTCGTAGAAAAATGAATATAATCCGCAAGATCCGATAGATATTTTGGATGCTGTACGGTCGAAACTCTTCAACATGAAGAATTCCAATTTTATTCGATTAGTGGAGGAATCATTACGTTATTAAATTTCAAAGGACTGGACGATAGAGTAAGGATGCGGTTGGTTAAATGAAAACTCTGGATTATGATGAGTTGAACTGATTGTTTATTCGAGTTATCGAGCAAGGGAAAAAGCCCGAAGGCATAAAAAACCCTTGAATTTGAGAATACATACTTAAAGTCGTATGATTGAGGCATGTGTGAGTGTGTCGCGTTTGATGATATAATGTGTACACAAAGGTTGGGCGCCCGTCAGCGATCAGTTCATCGCGTGACACCGGGTTTTTTGGGAAACAGTTCCCTTTAGCGATTTTGAATCGCGATCGTACGGGAACCAGGTTCCGTTGGAGTCTTCAGCTCGAGGAGACGTCCAGACGTCGTCGTAAACGATGTCTATTGTGTTTGTTGCCGGCAGGGCCCCGCGAGTAGTAGTAACGCGAACCGCGGATCATCGTCGTCGCGAGAAAAAATATAGAAACTTTTATCACCCGGTACACGGCGAGATTGCTCGACCGATCGCGACCGTAGACCCGTAGCGACTGTCTTTTTCTGTTACTGAGGCAAGGACATCGCGTTCCTTTCCTCCGAGCGTTTCGATGTTGTTTTTCCGGCGGTTTCGATTTTACTCTCCGACAGATGCGGTTTCGATATAACACCAAAGAGTAGGTGTACTTTATTGATATATTGGATTAATCGAATATATCAATAAAATCAGTTCAAAACGTTCTGCCGATAACGAAAAATTTGTCATTGACCACAGATGGTACTTGTATACACATCATGTGGATGCCGGATATATCCGGCGCTCGAAGCGAAAGGGTTAACACCTAAAAAACTTATTGCTTTTACTTTTGAATAAATCCTATAACATTGCAAGATTTTCAAACTTGTAAGTAGTATGCAGTCAAAGCGCGGTGTTTGCCATAACCTTATTTTTATTTCAAGCTCATTACATTCATTACAAAATGGAAGTATTTTGAAAATAATTGCTATTTTTTATAAAAGCTAGGTTAAAGAGCGATATTCAAAGACTCCATAATAAATTTTTATATCTCACAAAAGCTAGGCTAGGGAGGGATATTCAAAGGCATCGTAACAGAGGGGACCGACATACATCCATAATAACTGAAAGAGCTCTGTAATACAAACAAAAACAACTACTTCTACTTCATTAAATTATAAAGATTTCATATCCCATCTATGAAATCCTTTCTAAAAAAGTATTAACAGATATTAATTTTAAGAACGCGATATTCGTGTAGCTTTTTAAATATATGACTGCAAAAATTGATTGAAAGCCCCCGTAATTGGGGCAACTACTGTTCTTTTTTATTCTCACTCTTCAATTTACTATCGATTCTGCACTCGATACCAAATCAATGGTTTACTCACTTTCGAAACGGGCTGTAAACGCTACCCCATACGCTGGCCCTTGTCGGCGAGGATGGATTGTTTTGATGTTGATTGGAATATCCGTAGCCGGCGAAAAACATATTGCGGTAATTGTTCCTCATCAGTGTAGACCAGAATAAAAATGTCCGTACAAATAAAACAGTCCCCTCCTTACAAACGACTATGTGCACACAATACTTACGTGTATAAAAACAGAACTTACGAATAAAAACTATTAAACAACAACGGTAAACAACAATAGACAAAGTCTTACGATAATACTATAAAACTTGTACTTTCAATGAAACGCTTTGGCACGTGTTATTTGGCACAGAACGTCTACTTTATACAACATACGTTTTCAAACGAGCATTATCAGCGCGAACCATGCGCGTATACCAATGAATCTCGTCAGTCTTATGATTACGAAACGGGAGCGTCGACTTCCTCTCTCGTTTCGAAGATTGTTTCTATGCACCGTTTTCGTACGGTGACCTATCGATCACTGCAAAAAATCCGTGTCCCGAATGTAACTGTGTTACCACGGATCGACCTACATATATGGTTCTGGACCGATCAATGTCGAGAGATAACTCTCGCCCGAGACAACGTCAGGTGATTCCACTGTGTCCCAAAGCACGTTGTTTCACACCGGACACTCTGCCTATTTCTAGTTCAATTCGTAGCACAAATTGTACAATAAAGAACGACGAGAACGCGATGTAACATACGTTGACCCTAAAATAACAGCGCCCTGTCACTGAATCAGCAGTTTGTACTTTAACACAGTCCTCTTGGAGAAGAGCAATAGCTTTCGCGCCGGTCTCCTATCATCTTCCATCGTGAGTCTCTCGATCGAACCAAAAGGATCACTCTCCTCTCGATACTCGTTCGAGTGTAATCCGTTCAAACTGTCGTCGTTTTCTCTTATCGATAATCACACGCGTTTACAGAACGAAACACGAGATTCACGCGAGCACGGAACCTCCTATTCTGACGAGAGATTGAACGCAACTGAAAGCAGGCGGCGACACGGCTCGAGTTCGGATCTCGAGGGGAGAAACGGGTGGAGGGTTTAAGGTCGGAAGATTCGAGCGACTGGTGGAAAAGCATCGGAGAAGGGAGGGTCGTATGGACCCCATGCGAGTGGACCACGAGAGAGAGAGAGAGAGAGAGAGAGAGAGAGAGAGAGAGAGAGAGAGAGAGAGAGAGAGAGAGAGAGAGAGAGAGAGAGAGAGAGAGAGAGAGAGAGAGAGAGAGAGAGAGAGAGAGAGAGAGAGAGAGAGAGAGAGAGAGAGAGAGAGAGAGAGAGAGAGAGAGAGAGAGAGAGAGAGAGAGAGAGAGAGAGAGAGAGAGAGAGAGAGAGAGAGAGAGAGAGAGAGAGAGAGAGAGAGAGAGAGAGAGAGAGAGAGAGAGAGAGAGAGAGAGAGAGAGAGAGAGAGAGAGAGAGAGAGAGAGAGAGAGAGAGAGAGAGAGAGAGAGAGAGAGAGAGAGAGAGAGAGAGAGAGAGAGAGAGAGAGAGAGAGAGAGAGAGAGAGAGAGAGAGAGAGAGAGAGAGAGAGAGAGAGAGAGAGAGAGAGAGAGAGAGAGAGAGAGAGAGAGAGAGAGAGAGAGAGAGAGAGAGAGAGAGAGAGAGAGAGAGAGAGAGAGAGAGAGAGAGAGAGAGAGAGAGAGAGAGAGAGAGAGTCTGTGAAAAAAAGAAAATGTCAAAACGCCACGAACTTATTCCCCAACCTAATATACTCAAGAATTATTAAGCAGTGTAATATTCTTCATAAAATTAAGTATACATATAGGCTTCACATTTAACGTGGTTGAAAAATTTGTCTAATTTACATTCTCAGAATATTGTTAATTTTCGTTTGTTTGCTGAGTCAAGTGAGAAAAGCAAAAATACGTTCCTACCAACGAAATCTTAATTTTTTGTGCTCATAACGATTCGTTTTGATTAAATATTTTGATGGAAATGGGGGTATAGATTTATAATATAATATTGAAAACTATAAAATATAAGACAACACAATTAATACAATTTGAACACTGTACGAATTTATTTTAAAACGAAAGCAATGACTAGGAAGGAACTTTAAATGAAAAGATCTTTCAATATACGTGTACGATATCGTAATTGCAGAGAGAACAGCGAAGAAAAATTATATAGATATTATTTTATTTTAACATTTGAGGATCTAAATGAAACGAGCGGTATCATATAGATAGTAGATAAATATACATACTTGATTACCGACTTATTGGCAAATTACCGAAAACAAATTTGCTATTTTCAACATATTTCGATATGGAATTTCTACATACACAGTTTCATCGTATTTTCTAGGAAAAATATTTCAAGTAATTTTCAGAAGAAACTCACATATTATTCGGAATCTATTATACTATCATCTGATTGCTCTTCATTTTTACTCTCCGCTTCTTCAGATTTGAAAATATATTTCATGATATAGTTACGGTCCATTTTATCTTCAGTGATTTCATGAATCACATTTCTCAGCATCTTAAAAATTTTACCACTAGGAGGCGTGATAATATAAAAAGCAGCAAGGCATGGCAAAATCTTGAGCCATGCATGTTTTATATCGTTTAGAGCAACGGACTTCCACGATTTTCTTAATATATCAACACAATCATTTAAAGAATAACTTTCATAAAAATTGTTTACTTTTTCTCGTTGTACACGGCACAATAAATGATATCGATAAAATCTTTTTATACTTTTCATAATTCCGCAGTCCATAGGTTGTATTAAGGACGCGGTACGTTTTGGTATATACCTAATTTCATAATCCTTATCGTTTAGATATTCTGACGAAATTGTATACGTCTTACGATCAGCAATAAACAAAATTACTTGACTGGATATATAATCTTTTCCTCTTTGATGTTTTTCTGCAGACGGTTTGAAATAGTTTTCAAACCAGTCTATAAATAATTTTTGGTCCATCTTTGCGTCCTTGTGAAATCTACACGGTAAGGATACTGTATCTTGTGTTTCATCATTATGTATAATAAATGGCGTAACTTTGTTTTTGCCTGATATATTTGTACATAATGCTATGGTAATTCTATTTTTTCGTAGTTCGTAATCTCGAATATTTTTTGTTTGCTTTTCTGTTGAGGTATTTATTGGAAGTGCCTGCCATAATAGTTGAGTTTCAGACATATTATAAATATTTTCTATATGTACATTCTCCGACTCTATAAGGGGCTTCAAGTTATTATATAATATGTATTGCATCGCCTTAGAGTGCGATGCAGCTATCTTTTATATTTTTACAAGGCAATAGACCGAGGATCTCGAACTGACCGTACAGGCAATAAGTTTATGAAGCCATTGACCATTTTTCGTTAGCAAAAAATACCTTCGCGTCGGTACCCAAGTTTACTGCTTGGGACCAGCATGTTTAATGTCCTATTCCGTTATTTTTAATCATCGTTGTCAGGGTCAGAGTGCTTTTTCACCTTATTACCTGCTACGGGTTTTTCCCAAATCGCGGAATCCCTCGTGCGTCACCCCTTGGTCGCGGCTACTTCCAGGGGTGACCATTTCTTGTGCGAGGGAGGTGACCATTTCTTACGAGGGCGGTCACCTCTCAAAAATCAACAACCAATAAGAAAACACACCCCTTCCAAATTACCGATTCCGAGGTAATATCGACAGCTACTTTGGCGAAAGACGACAGAACACGATAATATTTCATACAACACGTAGCTAAATCAAGAAAAGAACACGAATATATCTCATACAACACATAGCTGATTCAAGAAAAGAAGACGATAATATCTCAAACATCACATATCGAAATCACGAAAAGAACTCAGTAATACAACGAACAACACGTAGCTAAAACACGAAAAGGATCACGAGTTATCACTTAAAACCAGGCCCAGAGCTCGTTAAATCGTGACTGGGTCAAAACAGTGTCGGGTGCCCGAATCCGCGCTGTTTACACAACAATATGTCAGCGTCAATGTTACCGAGATATTTGATATTCTCCTTTACAAATTTTGCTATCCACCTGAAGCTCAGTTCCAAATCACTATCGTCCGTTGGTGTCTTACATGCTTTGATTTCTAAGGCTTTTTCAAGCATTAAGATGCCCGTAACCTGATCACCTTTCATTCGTCGCTCTTTGTACCATTTTAGTAATTCTCGAGACACATATTCATCTATTTTCAATTTCTTGCATCGTTTTGTTTTGTGTAAAGATTCGTCTACAGAAGTATTCATTCGTTTAGCGTTTTCCTTAATTTTTTGAGACGTTTCGTCGTCGGTACAATGCTTTTCCACAAGCGTGTTGATTGCTTTCTGCGTTTCAGCTAAAATGTCAAGACTTGTTCCTTGATTAAACGAGTGTTAGTCGACATATTCAAATTATAAAAACAAAACTATTACTAATAACTTATCACAAATATATTATTGTAGGGATATCCAGAAGTCCGTGGATAAGCACAACGTATCGTAGTACGTTGACGACTAATCACCGAAATTTCAGCGTTTAATAGCCCGAACGTTGACGAGCGATCACGGAGATAAGTATTAGGCACATTGTGGAGGCGGGATATATTTTATTTTATTTAAAACTGTTAAAATATAACCAGAATAAAGCAGTTTTAGTGCAGTAATGGTACTCGAGTTAAGATGGATATTAAACACCCGGTCGTCAACAGTTAATTAAACCGTAGTTTGTTTAAACTATGCTTCTGATTGCATACGTTCTGTTTCGCATGTTGTCACTTAACCATCACGATGCTTTCTTATCTAATCGCTTCCTCTCTTTCTGGCATTCATTCTTCTGCTTTTCTAACTTCTACAGTATTGCAGTGTCGGGGTCGTTATACCAGGTGTACCGGTTAATAATTCTCAATTTCTGCGCTGGACTGCGCTAGACGCAAGGACGAATTCACAGTTTATATATGTTACGGTGAAAGACCGAAATTGGTGAATGTCGACATATACTAAATACGTCGGTGAAAGACCGAATATTTTATTACATTCTTGTACATTCGGACCTTCACCGGTGTATGTCAACAATCACAGATATGCTCTGGTGGAGGTCCAAAAGGGAGGAGCCGACGAAGAAGCGACTGGCTCTCTCCCGCCAAATCCTGTGTTTTGCTGGGAGTCTTATGCAAGCTTTGATAATGCGAGCAACGTTTTCTTAATTTTTTTTTCCAATACCGTAATTTATACTGAATGGATACTGCAGTAAATCGTGATCTTTTTCTTGAAGAGTTAAATGCATTAATTGCGGGTAAACGAGAAGACAATTGTTTTTATT